CATTGCCTGCCGCCCGCCCGCCAGCTGGCAGGGAGCAGCACAGCTCCAGGAGCCCCCCCGACCTCTCTCCTCCTCGGCACCGGGATGCTAAAGGGATCTCCCAAGATGGCAAATGTGATGTTCTCGGGGGTTAAAGCTGGCCTGGTGTCAGCTGATGTGCTGCGGAGGGAACAGCAGGAGCTCAGAAGGCAGGAGAGAAATAACAAGCACTTGGAAGAGGAATCCAGACACTCTGAGACCGTCTTCCGAGACAAGTCGGGCTGCAAGCGGGACCTGGTGCAGGAGTGGCTGGAGCAGAGGAAGAAAGAAGAGGCCAAGTCTGAGAGGGATGAGCAGTATGCCAAGTGGGGAAAGGGGCTGGCACAGGGGAGGCAGCAGCAGCAGAACGTGGAAGATGCAATTAAAGAGATGCAGAAGCCCCTGGCTCGTTATATTGATGACCAGGACCTGGATCGAATGCTGAGAGAACAAGAGAGAGAAGGAGACCCCATGGCTGACCTCATCAAGAAAAGGAAGGCCAAAGAGAACAAAGAAAAGAAAGGTTTGGATGCTGAGTTAAACCCATGTATGGTTTAAGGCCCCAGCAGAGTGGAAATGCAGCTGCTGGTAAATAAATGGCCTGAGACTGTCAGAGGAGTCCTACAGGCCTGCTTCTCTGGAGGCAGTGTTGGAGCAGTAGTTACTTCTTGCCAGTGACAGTTACTGTTATTTGTTAGCTCAGAGAAGCAGGATCTGGTGATTTAAAAATGGTTTTAAACTGAGAAAGGGGAGATTTGGGTTAGGTATTAGGAAAAAATTTTTCACTCTAAGGGTGGTGAGGAACTGGAATGGGTTGTCCAGGGAGGCTGTTGATGCCCCTTCCCTGGAGGTTTTTAAGGCCAGGTTGAATGAGGTTTTGTGCAACCTGGTCTAGTGGGAGGGCTCCCTGCTCATGGCAGGGGGGTTGGAACTTGATGATCTTTGAGAAGCCTTCCAACCTTTATGATTCTATAAACCCCAACAGGCACCAGTTTGCTTGATTTTGTCTCTGGCAGCTTGCTCTGTGAGCTGTTGCACCACGAGTGGTGCCTGTACACACCTCTGGGGTTGATGGTGACAATGTGACTGTGCTGAAGCCCTAAGCAGCTGTGTTGCTCTTTCTGTTTCTAGAAAAACCCCGGTACAATGGACCAGCCCCTCCACTCAACAGGTTTAATATATGGCCTGGGCATCGCTGGGATGGCGTGGACAGGTTTGTGTTGCTGACAGAGTGATGATAAGGGAGCTTTGGCTTCCAAGAGTTCACAGGGTAGAGATTCCTTCCCAGTTACCAGATGGATGAGATGGTCAGCAATAGGAAGGCTGAACATGTGAACTTACAAATGGGTTATGAATATGTCAGCTTGTCTGGGGCAGGAGGGAGGAAGGCTGTTGCTGTCAGCAGGGCTGTGAGCAGCTGCAGCTCAAACCCAGCAGCAGGCAGGGCAAGCTTCCCTCTGTGGGGGGGCGACCTGCGCTTGGAGCCCTGCCTGCAGCCGCTTCGCTCCAGCCAGACCCAGCTCGACCTATCTGCGCCGCCGCACGGTGAGACAATTCCGGCTACCCCAGCTTATAGGGGAAAGTATAATCCTGTCTTACCTGCACACAAATCGCGACCCTATACGGGAACTGCGTCGGGCGTATTCCTCCTCCTTACATCACTTAAATAAGTAAATGAGGTGGGTAACTAAGGTGTACCCATATATATTTCATGTGTTGTAATCACTCCTTTTGAACCTCCTGCCCCAAATTGCTTTGTTTTCCCCACAATAAACCGTGCATTTCGTTGGAAATATTAGTAAGCACTGAGCAAGTTATTCACTCAAAAAAGTCAGGGCATAAGCCCCTGTCTCCTCTGTGTGAGGCGATACCCACGTGTGGATCTCTCAGCACATCCTGATATGCGTAATACACTCCAAAAAGGAGATATAATAGGTCGTGGATCGTGACAGACACTGACCAGCCCTCATCAGCAGTCTCTGTCCTCCAGGATGCTGGCACAGCAAATAGCAGGGAGGTTTCAGCAAGCTCTGGCAGTGGACAAAATCTGTCTGGTTTGCTGCATGCTAAATCACAAAAAAAAGGATGACAAGGGTGTATAATGGATATTTACAGTCACCCATTCCTTCAGCACGTGTTCCACTGCAAGAGAATCCAGCATCTGCTGTTGAAAACTGTCAGTGCTCACATTTGGCACAGAAGGAACTTTGCATCTGTGGACTGCAGTGAAGCCAGAGATCCCAGATGTGAAAAACATGCACTTAGAGGAAGGAACTGCATGTTCTACCTTGGAACATCAATAGCGTTGTGAACTTACAGAAGGAAAACAATTACAGCTTAAAAAAATTGACACAAATGTTTTGTAAATAAAAAAGACTTCATTGCTCTTAGAAATAATACTGAGTCAGTTCCAACTTCAGCTGAAGCCTGCTGGGCATGGACTGGAAGGTAGGAACAAGTAGCATGCCACTTATAAACATGCTAGGAGGCTGTGTGGAAGAGTCCTCACAAAGGAATGCAGCAAATAAAGGTAGGAGAGATGGAAACATACGCAGGAACAGAACACAGTCTAGGAGACCTATGCAATTCCAATACTGTGCTGGCGATGATGGCTGCTGTGAGCAGTGTGGAAATTGTCTGACAGCAGCTGCAGCACAGGAATTAGTCGTCAATAGTTGGCAACCAGAAGGCCTGCAAGAGAGAGAAGAACAAACATCACCAGCAAAACACAAACCTCTCCTACAGCACGCGTCAGGAGCTGATCACTGCTATCTTCCAGAAGCACACAGGCAGAAGACTACCAAAAAGGCAGCAACACCCTCCCAGCATTTGAAGGTTACAATCCTTGCTTACACTGGTTTTGCATTGCACCTTCTCCAGAGCAAGCCAGTCTTACACAAGCTGGAAATACCAGCTGTGTACAGTGACCTAAGGAAGTCCTACTTCTGCATCTGCATTCACAAATGTGTTCAAACACTGGCTTGCCAGGTGTGCTGACCCACAGATCTACCTGCCAGGTAAAGCACAATCTAGGTGGGACAGGCAGGAGCGTGGCTCTCACTGAAGCTTGAGGCAGTACTCATCAGTGGCACTGAGCCTTCTCCAATTAGTATCTAGAAGTGCCAGCACTTATTGAGGAGGGAGGAATTTGAAACATTTTCCTTACCATATTGGAACATGCACTAGCAAAAGTCATGAATTTTGGATTGAACTGCAGGCATGTTATAGGACCTGTGTGTTTTCCATCAAGCACAGCCACCTTCATCCCACTTTCCCCATTCCAAACGTGAATTTTCCCATCCTCTGAACCTGCAGGCAGGAACAGAAAGCAAGATAAGCAACATATATATGAGAGGCTGGTAGAACCTCTTCTGGAAGAAACATGCCTTGTCTTCATAGCTTAACCTTTAAAATTCTCTAAGTATCACTAGGGCATTTACAAAACATGACCAGAGTTTGCACAACTGCATCTCAACAGCAGGTTGGTATCCTTTCCACTACAGACTCAACTACAGAAGACAGTGCAATGCCCTTCTGGCAAACAGGTTAACAACTCTGGTCACATGGTAGGAAGGGAGAGCGAACACCATCTAACTGAGGGGGAAAGGCCCTTGCCAACTTGCAGTGCTGTGCAAGAGGCCAAAACCTGGTGGCAGAGTCACTGTCCACACAAGTTCTTAGTTCAGCCACGGAGAAGATAAACATTTGCTTTGGTAGGCACAGAACAAATCACAGGCTTTACTACTGAGGGTAACAAGATGTCAGAACACTGTGCTAAACACCAGAAGCTTCACTGGAGATTTCAATTCTCCACATTGCTATGACAGGACAGGTTTTTCACTTTTTAAAGGCATTTTGCAAACTCTGAGGCTGGGCATTTAATATTTTTATAATTCAATTCTGATTTAGTCTCATTTTAGATAAGTTTCCTAAAAAAATGCAAGGAATTTCTTCTGCTTCTGTATTTGTATGCATAGGCTTTCAGGGAGGAAAAATTAAGGAACACAACGTAACTATATATAAAGACTGAATAGAAATAAATGTTCTGGAACTTTTTCCACTATAGTTTTCATTTGAAGGGGCACAACAGGAAGGTAAATATGTGCTGTAAAGTGCTCTCCAGACAGACCAAAGGAAGAACCCCCTCCTGCCTTCTCTGAAATCAGGAAGTGCTTGGCCAGAATAAGAAGTTTTGCCAAGTCCATCAGTCATCCAGAAAAAATGAGGATCAGGATACCAATTACCACAAAGTTCAACAAATTTAACCTACCACCTATATAAATAAGAACAAAAAGCAAACGGAACAAAAAGACTGGGCAGCACCACACAAATGTGTCCAACTTGTGTTCATGGGTCCTGCTGGGCAGTAGAGTGACTGAAATGCTTACCCTGGGGTGCTCAACCTGCAGCACCAGGCTTTACAGGAGCTGCCACTGCTTTTTGCCACCCACTTCACACACAAGTCCCTTCTGCAGGGAGTAAGGAAGAGGGCTAGGGCCAGAGATATCATGCTGGGATTCACCAGCTGATGCCTACTGCTTCTACCAAGGGTTAAGCAGAGCTTGTTCCACAGATAAGGGCGGTTTAGAAAAGCCACAGGAACAAAAGGCAGCTGCCCCAGCACACAGCCAGTGCAGGAATGTTCCTGGGAGGTGCAAAAGGAACCAGGCTATGAGCCCTGACCCAGACGGGTGTCATCAGGTAACAGAGGGCAGACCACAACATACAGCCCTAAAACACTTTAAGAGGCTGCATATGAGTGCATCCTAGCCACAGGGTGAGGATCATTGACACAAATTGTGTCAGGTCTCCATGCATTACAATAGTCTGCCCATTTCTTATATTTTTCTGGAATAGCACTCCAAAAGTCTTCTTGCAGGCTTGTTTACCTTTCAGTCTAGAAAACGCTGTGAACTAAGAAACCAGAAAACTGGTTTCTTGCAATGTAAAGAAAGCTTCCATGCACTGTAATATTTAAATACATTCTGCCTCCCAACACAGATACAACTTCAGTCCTACATAACACACCTAATTTCAGAGAACTGAAATGCCTTTCGAGAAGGATTATCTTACCTATCATGATGAACTGAGAGTCTGGTGTGAACGATGCCTCCAGTGTGACAGCCTTACTATTGTTATAACCCTAGGGCACAAAACAGGAGAACACGTGGTAGAGACGGTGTCCACAGTTACCTCACAACCAAAGGGCACCTGCTACCCAAACTAACACCAAGCTTCCAGGAGGTGACACAAGTACATGCTCACCCCAAAGGTGTGCAGGATGGCTCCTTTAAAGGCATCAATCAGTCGGATAAACCCTCCATTGGTTGATATGAGGATGAGTTTGCCATCATTACTGAACTTCAGGCCTGTCCACTCACATGTTCGATCATACTGCATCTTAAACGTAGCAAATGGCCCCTTCAAAGAAAAAAATGGAAAATCTGATGTAGGCTCCATGCACTGCTGCTAACTAGAGTCTGCTCTCAAGCTTAGCTTGGGAAAAAGTTCAAGATTAAAAAAAAAACCAAACAAACCTTTAGTCCTACTATACCAAAGGAAAGAGTTATGGCAAGAAGACATCACTGCATGGGTAAGTTTCAAAGAATGAATCCACAGTATCCATAGCAAAAAGGAAGCACAGTAAGGTTCTTCAATACCAAGTACTCCCATACTCCACCACATTCAATGGCAAAACTTAATTTCACATACGATGAAGTTGTCAAACAAGGCTTCTAATTGAACTTAGAGAAAGTGCCTGAGCCAGTGTTATTGTCATCTGACATTTTGAAAACCATGGAACTAAGCTCAGTGCTTAGCCAGTTCAGCTGCTCCCCCCAGTCCCAGTGTCCTTTGAAATTTCCATTCTTTCTGACAATACCAGCTCCATCTTTGCCAGTGTTCCTTCAAAATGAACCTCAAGGAAAACAAACAAAACACTAAAACAACCTAAACAGGAGTCTGAAACACGTTAACAAGTTAGCAGAATTAAACTTTAACAACTGGTTCAAGAATGGATTTCAGGACCGGGAAACAGCATGTACCTCTGTGAGAGTTGTTCTTGCCAAGCAGGCACTCCAGCAGACTGATCCAGCCTCTGAGCAGTGAGTTTAGACTACTTCTTATAAGCTAAGAGATATAAGAAGCAAAGTTAAGAGTAGCTCACCTTGTCAAAAGAACGGAGATCGTAAAGCTTCACCATTTCAGAATTAACTCCAGCAGCAAAAATCAACCC